CACTCAACGTCCCAACATCCTCCTCAAGCCAGTCTGAGAACAGCTCAAGAAGGAAAAAGAAGCACAAGACCAAAACCAAATGCCTCTGGGCACTCAAGTCCTCAGCTACCAAAGTCACCAAAAGGGTGGGAACCTGCACGTGCAGTTGCACAAGGCCAACATCATGAGGAAGCATGGGGGCAAACCAGCATGCATTAAAGCGCTCAAGATCGTTTTAATGCGTTCTTCCAGGTAAACCTGCAGAACGGTAGAAGTTTCTCGCTATTCAAGCGTGTGGGTCTAACAGAACTCATGCCATGTCTCCAACAAAAAGAACGGGCAGTCTGCCAGCCAGGAAGACTTCGGAATCTCCAAATACACCCAATATAGGGAAGAAGAACCGAACTCAAATGAGGACGGATCCATGACAGAGGCAGAATCTGAGTCTTGCAGACGATACGCAGCCAGCTGCTCCAGACCCTCCTGAGGTGAGAGCTGCAAAGCAGAAAACCTCCGGAAGGAAGAAGCCGAGGAACCCAACGGCACCTGGAACCGAACCCGGGGAGGAGCAGACCCCAAATCATACACATACAGGGAAGGGGGGCAAGAAAACCTCTCCCTCTGCAACAATAAGCCCTGCAAAGAGGGCACTAACACCCAAGCTGGAATAAATGGGGTCCAAGCCCCCCAGGTCAACTCCCTAGCCCTGGGATCCCCCCCAAGTCAGGACCCAGGGCAGAGCAGTCCTCCATACCCTCTACCCCTAAAGAAAAGGCAGAGTCCAGGGGAAAGGCAGAAAAGAAGTGGGCCTGCTGGTGGGACCCAGAAGCCTCGGCAGGAGGAACTGGCTCGAATGCCCCCGTCCCCAACCTGAACTGGGCAGCCCCCAAAGCTGCCCAAGTCTCATTACTAACAAAACCTTGCTCCAACTCCGAAACCCTCAGATGTTTGGGAGCTGGAAGCAGGGAGAGGGGGGAGGGGTTGAAGGGTTAACAACAGGGTAAGGACCAGAGACCGCAGACAGAACCAAAGTCGAAGCAACTAACGCCCCAAGTCTGGGTCCCTATAACCAAAACGGGGAAGCCTTGGGGCATCCGGGTGGGTGACCAACTTAGCATGTTGTAGCAACTGAAACCTAGTATGTAACGTGGATGCTGCCTGAACCCAAATATCAATGTTATCAGAATGGGTAAACTGGAAAACATGCAGAGAACACAACTCGCAAGACTCTAGATCAAAGGTGTTGGTGACCCAACAGGCAGCATAAAGGAGGTAAAAGCAGTGACTGTCACCCTGAGACAAGAGCATACAACCACCTTCAAACACGCACGAGGCGAGCTAGAACTCGGAAGACGTATCCATAGGTCCCCAAACCCGGACGGAGTTTTCATGGGCCCGTAGGATGACTGTTATGGGAAGCCCAGGCAAGGTTTTGCTAACCGGTTACAATCAAACCTAACAACCACCTGGTTGTTAGGTTTGATTTACCAGGTGGTAAAACCACCTGGCCACCACACCATGAACAGCAGAGGACACCACTAAGGTAAAAACTGCATAAGAAATCAAGGTCAAAGATGATGACTGCCCTGGATTGCATTAGCTGACAAACTGAAGTACTGCGTGGACAAGCAGCACAGCGGTGGGGGGGGGGGGGTTTGCTTGTTTCCTGGGGATTGGGAAAGAGTTCTGCCTCTCTGTTCGGGTTCGGTTGCAATTTTCTTACCATGTCTGTTTTGTTATGCCTACCTTTCTTGGTACCTAACCCCAGCCAATGGCAGATAAGGAAAACCCCCACTAGGTCAGGGCCGTTGCTCCCTGTGCCTCTCTGACAGGGTCCAGGTTCTGGCTCGTGGTCCCCGGTAGGCTGAACTCCAATGACTATTGGTCTAATGAACTGCATATTAACTCGATAGCTTCAATGAGCCGAAGGGGCTCCCGACAGCAAAGTCAGTCTGTTCGAGGTTGGAGTGGGGGTAGAGAGGGAAGTAGAAGGGGAAAATGGGGGGAGATGAGAGGAAAGAGGGAGAGAGGGGAGGGAGAGAGGGGAGGAGAGGGAGAGAGGGGAGGAAAGAGGGAGAGAGGGGAGGGGGAGAGGGGAGGGAGAGAGGGGAGGGAGAGAGGGGAGGGAGAGAGGGGAGGGAGAGAGGGGAGGGAGAGAGGGGAGGGAGAGAGGGGAGGGAGAGAGGGGGAGGGAGAGAGGGGAGGGGGAGAGGGGAGGGGGGGGAGAGGGGAGGGGGAGAGGGGAGGGAGAGAGGGGAGGGAGAGAGGGGAGGAAAGAGGGAGAGAGGGGAGGAAAGAGGGAGAGAGGGGAGGAAAGAGGGAGAGAGGGGAGGGGGCAGGAAAGAGGGGGAAAAGGGGGAGGGAGGGATTGAGGGAGGAAGAGGGGAAAATAGGAAAAGAAGGGGGGAGTGGAATGAGGGATCGGGAAAGAGACAGACTATCCTAGGCACTGTCGGATAGGTTTTATATCGAGATGTTGGTAAGCAGTGGCAAACAACAGTCTGCTTGATCAGGCCATCAAACAGGAGGCCTAGGCAAAAACTAGTCTATGGAAAACTGATCTCTGGACGATGTCAATGTATGCTCAGATTAAAAATGAATAATCAAATGAACCTTGTACACCCCCTCCTGGACTACTGTATCCATGCATGGAGACCTCTCCTACAATGATAAATAAATGCCAAAAAGACATAACAGAGCTTATCTCATAGAGAACATTCATTTTCTGAACATTAATCCAAATCACTTCTTTAAAGTCCAAAATAACTTACCACACGGTAAGCGCTTCAACCTCAAAAAGCCACACTGTAAGACAGACAAGAAATGCTTTATCACCCATAAGGTTAACGACAATTTAATCACCTGCCCACCCAAGTCATAAATACCAATATGCTTCAGTTCAAAATACAGTTGGAAAAGATTTCATGAAAAATGAGGGGACCTTATGCAGACTACCTACCCAACCCCCCCCCCCCCCGCCCCACCCTCCAAATCGAGGCTACTCACTATGGTAGCTTACAAGTAAACCTTCGAGTCATTCTCATATAATTTGCCCCATGCCTCCGTCTGAGTTCCAATGCAAACAAATTACCAGCACTGTCTTATATTAAATAGCATTTAAAGATTCTCCTGTTGCTGTATACTTAGCAAACATTCCTCTAAAATCAGTGGCATTATAATTTTTTTAGTTACTATTATTATTATTTTGAATTACAGTATTACTGTTTTGTAGTTACTATTACTTATTAAAGTTGAAATGCTCTGCAAATCAAGGATCCCAAAATCTGGAATAACCTCCCAAATTATGTCTTGAGACTGTTGGCTGTTCCTCTCTCAACCAGTTTAAAAGAGAAACTAAATACTACCTAATCAACTTTGTAACCTACCTTACTTCCTAAATGTTCAAAAATGTCAAATTCCTTTTGCTATTACTGAACAATAATTTACTGAACCCGTAAAGCTGCTGATTTCTGCCATGTAAAAATAAACAAAATATTTATTCCTTCTGAACAAATCCACATGGGTCGTGATCCAAATCCACAGAAGTTTATTCCTTCTGTTTATTTAGTAATCATGGAATTACTGTACTGTCATTTTGATATTTCTCTACTTCAGTTAATTTTTGCTTTTTGATCTTAGTTTTAAGTCTTTAGTTTTTAAGTATTATTTCCACATTATGACTGCGCTGAATATATTAGTGGCTTTAGGCACAGTACAGCACTTGCCCTATCATGAAATACTGTACATCATTATTCTTGTACCCTATTTTGTATGTACAGTATGTACGTTTGCTTAAATAAAAATTATTATTATTATTATTATTATTATTATTATTTCATAAATATATGCTATTCAAGCTTTATTAATTTTTTTTTACATTTTTCCAATTACATATAGTATTCCGTATATTAATGTGTATCACATAATTATAGATAAAATCAGCCCATCTCCCTGTTTAGGTAGTACTTATAATAATGATGAGGACATCATACATATACAGTGTACTGACGTATAAGGCAATTAGAAAGTAGCAATCAGTGCTATTGAATTTGGACAAACGGGAAAAGTTTTTGTACTGATGTTGCAAAGAAAACTTAGCCTAACCTAACCTCCTTAGGCCTAATACATGTTAAATGGGGTCCTAATATAGTACAAATATGTGCTATATTAGACCTAGAAATACTTAAATTTGTTTTTTGTCTGCAGGAATTTTTTATTTTATTTTTACTATAAAGTGAATTCAGTAGTACCAAATTATACTGTTTAAGTGTCCATTACATTTATTTTATTTATTTATTTATTTATATAAACAAAAGTTCTTACATGCTTGTACAGCCACTACCAGGCATAGCATTTTGGGCAGGTCCTTAATCCTAATTTTCACACACACATATTCCTAGGAAGCAGCCTGTAGCAGCTGTCTAACTACCAGGTACCTATTTACTGTTAGGTAAACAGAGGCATCAGGGTGAAAGAAACTCTACCCACTTGTTTCCGCCTCTGCCGGGGATCGAACCCGGACCCTTAGGACTACGAACCTGGAGCACTGGCCACTCAGCCTTCAGGCCCCCATGCATGTACAATGGTCCAAATAGCTTCAAAAAGTACTATCTAAACAGGAGGATAGGTTGAAATAAATTCATAGAGACAAGTTCCTCAAGACAATGAATATTTTCAAGTTGGACATTGTCAGCTTGATGATCACCATCCAGCATATTTAGACACATGATGGGCCCTAAGTTTTTATTAAACAGTTTCCCTTATAATCTTACTGAGATCTTGTTCAGAGTTCAATAATCCTTTAATATGACAATGGTCATCATGAAATAAGGAACTTCTGATACACTTTAGCTCAAAGCTGCAGATTTAACAGCAAGGTTGTGTGATACCTGTGCATATGGTTAAAAAAAAACACAAGTTTATTTCCTTGGCGTCACATTCTATCAAATATCCTCCAAGCATCAGCAAAGAAATAAATATAAAAAATGAATAATAAGGGTAGAGAACTCAAATAAACTTACCATTCCTATTCTCTGTGTCAGCGGGCTTCATCTGAATAGGGTGGTGCATCTGAAAAGATAAACTTGTTCTAGTGATATGGATTTCATTTACTTTGTATAAAAACCAAAAAAATTCTAATTTAATATATATTAATAAGGCATATCATTTTATTAGTTAATTATAGCCAGAGAGATGTAAAATCTTGGTACTTGTAGGGACTTATAAAAATAACTAATTTCCTTAAATTTCTATAGTGAAAAACATATGATGTAAGCCGGAATCACCTTGTATAAGCCAAAATATGTCATAACGAAGGCAATTGCTTAAGAGTTAATGCACATATTGCAGCACTGGAAAATTTGAACTTACGCCAGACAATGTTTTTATGTTGTGCATTGCATTTTGGGCCTCGAGTGCAGATTTGCGGGCATAGAAGGTCACAAAACAGCATCCTGAGGAAAGAAACATTTTAATTTATATAAGAAACTCCTTCAGACATTTTATTTAGGCCTAGCTACCCTATAATACTACAAGAAATTAATTAAAAACACAACTGTATCTATAACAATACAGGACAAAAATCACCAAAGCCAGTAAAGTACAGTACTGTACTTTATTATAAGATATTTATTTTTTGTATTTATTTATATATTCAAGAAGGTACACTGGGTTTGTGAGAGTACATAACATTGATGTTTTTACACTCTTGCAAAGCCATTAAAATGCATAGCATTTCAGACAAGACCTGAATCTAACAGATAATGATAAGTAGGTAATTTGTAGCAAAATTTGAATAATAATAATAAAAGGTACACTGTAGGAAAATTTGAAGAACATTAATAGGTACATTGTAGCATAATTTGAAGATTATTAATGGGTACATTGTAGCAAAATTTGCATTCAACATAACTATGATGTAAGTTGATTGCAATGACTACAATGGTGAAGTTACATGTCTTAACACAAATATTGGGGGAGTGGGTAGCACAAGATACAGTGCGAGTTTGAAGCATTAGGTAGGAAAGTATGAGGATGAAATCAAGTAATTTTTTTTTACTTTTGAATAAGGAATAGATTGGACAGTTTTTTAATTCGTTGGGGGAGCGAGTTCCATAGACTAGGTCCCTTTATTTGCCTAGACAACTGTCTAGGATTTGCCAATCCTAGACAGTGCCTAGGATTTGTTCATTTGATGCATCATGCTATTGTGATTTCTGTGTGTAAATTTGCATAGTGTTTGCAGATTTAGTTTAACTCTGGGAATATCAAAGAGATATTTATTTCTGGTGTGGTGATCATGGGTTCTATTACATCTGTCAAAGAACAGTTTCCGATCAGGATTTGCATTTAAGAACAAGGTTTTGTACATGTAAATAGCACAACAGAATGTGTGGAGTGTGTATGCTTAGCATGTTTAAGGATTTATACAGAGGGGCTGTGTGTGTTGCCTGAAAACTGAGTTTGTTATTGTTCTGATAGCAGACTATTGCTGGGCAATGATCAGCTTAAGGTAATTTGGACTTTGGATCTTTGTTTGGAGGACGGGATGCTCACACGCATCCTCCCACCTCTCTATCAACATACCCCCCTCCAGTTCTCCTCCGTTACTTAAACATTTTCACATCCTTCCTGTCTCCACTCCTCACAAACCAAACCCATCAACCTCAAATATACTTTCCCACTGTCTCACTACACACACCCTTTATTCTCTCAGTCTAAATATACATCACAGTAAACATCGCCTCCACCACAACGAAAGTTCCTCATAATGGTCATGAGAGAGATTATAGTAAAAGCAGATAAATATAAATCCCGATTTTTGGTCCTGGGGGACTTCAATTTGAAAGCAATAGACTACAAAGCAAGAAAGAAGGACATTCCTGGTAATTACACTTAGGTGTAATTACACATTCCCCATCTCCACTGACACACACACACATACACATTCCCCATCTCCACTCACACACAAGGAAATAACTAAGAGAGAAGTCAGAGTCATATTAAGGGGCAAGAAGTTGGACTAGCATGGGGTAACAAACGTACCAAAGTACCACAATGATCAGCACTGGTGCCCATATTATTTCTCATTTATGTTAAAGCTTATCTACAGGAGTTATGTCCTATATGTCAATATTTGCAGACAAAGAATTAACGAAAAAAGTTGAGACAGATTAACCTAGCAAGATTCTGCAAGATGACTTAGACAGGCTGTAGAGTTGATTCCAGAAATGGTTTCTGGATTTCAACACTAGTAAGTGTAAGGAGATGGAAATGGAAGCAGGTAACAGGAGTAATAGTTACTCTGAGAGAGAACTCTATCAACATCAAGGGCCCAAGACTCTTCAACATTCTCCCGCTACACATAAGGTGTATGACTGGCTGGCCTCTCACAGTATTCAAGAAAGAACTCGACAAACACCTTAGAAGAATACCTGATCAACCAGGCTGTGATTCATACATGTGGCTGCGAGCAGCCGCGTCCATCAGCCTGGTTGACCAGACAACCAACCGGAGGCCTGATTGGAGCCCGGGCCGCGGGGCCGTTGATCCCCGGAAGCTACACAAGGTATATAAACCAAAAATAGTACAGAATGAAGGGAAACTGCTACCCTGTAAGGACGAAAGAAAAATAAACGTAATTTCAAACCTAATTTCAGGTTATAATAAACCAAACCTAATTTTAGAGGCGCATATAAACAGGATATCATCAGCAGAATATTCTACACTAGCTAAAGTCAAGACGTCATTCAGGAACCTAACTATGGTAGCATTTAGATCGTTGTACATGGCCTACGTCAGACCAGTTTTAGAGTATGCCAACGACAGTGTTGAGCCCCATCTAAAAAAAATATACAAGGAAACTCGAAACGGTTTAGAAGTTTACAACGAGGCTTATCCCAGAATTGAGAGAGATGGCATATGAATGAAAGAATTAAACCTGATGACGCTAAAAAAAAAAAAAGAGACAGGGAAGACTTGATAAAGCCATATAAAATATTGAAGTGATTGATAGTGGAAAACATTTGAAAAATTTCGCAATACCAATAGAACAAGAGGGCATGGGCTTCAGAAAAATGAGCCATAGAGATGTTAGAAAGTTGTTTTCTTAAAGTGCAAGAGTAGAGGGAACAGGGGGAATGAACAGGTTGTATAGAAGGAATGGAATGGAATAGGTTGTGGAATCGAACTACATTCATAATTTTAAAAGTAGACCTGACAGGGAAATAGATCAGAAATCAATGCATTAGATAATCGGTTACTAGAAAGGCAGGAGTCCATGAGCTAAGCCTCGATCCTGCGGGCACAAAAGGTAAGTACAAATAGAAGAGTTCACACGGTCAAAAACACATGCATAGTTATAAATGCAGCCTACACCAACTCATTCCCACATATTTATGGACACAATTAAAGTGCGGGGCACACCACAACTTATGTCCCGGCTGCCTTCTGGTAATACAGGCCAGACAAATTAAAGAACCTACGGGAACACTACAAAAGTAATTACAAGAGAAAATGCAAAAACATTCTGCAAGGCTACAGACTATTATTCTGCATTTCAATCTTTCATTTGTAATGCTGTCATTTTGTTCTTTAATATTTTACATTATTAACAACACTACAGAAATTTATAAAAAAAATTATATACCCAGGAATCCACAGACGATTTCAAGCATTTTTAAAGAAATAACAAACGAATATTTCATGAATGTGGCAACAGTGGCCACGGACAAAATGACCCCAGCTACATTAACAGTACTGGGCTCTTGGGGGCTCTTGATTTCGAAGTGAACTCCTGGTAATAAGTGTTCAACACCTGTGCCTCCAGAGTTTAAGGCTAGTGTGGGATCTTGTCTTATCAACGCTCTCCACTCCTACGTCGCCCCGTTAAGGCTTGACTAAAATTGTGGGGTGGGCCAGGATGCGACAGGGTGGGTCAGGAACTTATGGGGTGGGTCAGGATGTGATAGGGTGGGTCAGGAACGTATGGGGTGAGTCAGGATGTGACAGGGTGGGTCGGAAACGTATGGGGTGAGTCAGAATGCGACAGGGTGGGTCAGAAACGTATGGGGTGGGTCAGGATGTGATAGGGTTGGTCAGGAACGTATGGGGTGAGTCAGGATGCGACAGGGTGGGTCAGGAACGTATGGGGTGGGTCAGGAACGTTTGGGGTGGGTCAGGATGTGATAGGGTTGGTCAGGAACGTATGGGGTGAGTCAGGATGCGACAGGGTGGGTCAGGAACGTATGGGGTGGGTCAGGAACGTTTGGGGTGGGTCAGGATGTGATAAGGTGGGTCAGGAACGTATGGGGTGGGTCAGGATGCGACAGGGTGTGGTCAGGAACGTATGGGGTGGGTCAGGATGTGACAGGGTGGGGTCAGGATGCGACAGGGTGGGTCAGGATGCGACAGGGTGGGTCAGAAACGAATGGGGTGGGTCAGGATGTGACAGGATAGGTCAGGAACGAATGGGGTGGGACAGGATGCGAGAGAATGGGTCAGGAACGTATGGGGTGGGTCAGGATCGTACGGGGTGGGGCAGGAACACGTGGAACACGTTTGACACGTGGAAAATATTAGAGGGGCTGGTCCCAAACCTGCACACAGAAATAACATCACATGAGACCAGAAGACATGGCAGGATGTGCAGAATACCCCCGTTGAAAAACAGAGGTGCAACTAGTACTCTGAGAGAGAACTCTATCAACATCAGAGGTCCGAGACTGTTCAACACGCTTCCACTACACATAAGGGGCATAACTGGCCGACCCCTCACAGTGTTCAAGAGAGAACTGGATAAGCCCCTCCAAAGGATACCTGATCAACCAGGCTATGACTCGTACGTCAGGCTGCGAGCAGCCGCGTCCAACAGCCTGGTTGATCAGTCCGGCAACCAGGAGGCCTGGTAGACGACCGGGCCGCGGGGACGCTAAGCCCCGGAAGCACCTCAAGGTAACCTCAAGGTAGGATGCGACGGGGTGGGTCAGGAACGTATGGGGTGGGGCAGGATGCGACAGGGTGGGTCAGAAAGGTATGGGGTGGGATGGGGAATAAGGTGTGGGATAGACTAGGTCGTAGGAGATGTGGTGGGGTGAGTCAGGAGGACACGAACTGGGTCGAAAGAATGCATTGTGGGACGGATCGGGAGGAGGCGGCGTGTGGTGGCTCAGGAGGGCTCTCTTGTACTGTGAAGCTGACCATAAGGGGTGGAGGTAGTGTGTTACTGATCAATAGGGGGAGGGTACTCATCGTGGGGTGGATCAGTAGAGGATATTGGAGTCAGGGTTTGCTGTGAGGTGGATCTGGAGTGGATATTGGAGTTTGGTTTTGCTGTGAGGTGGATCTGGAGTGGATATTGGAGTTTGGTTTTGCTGTGGGGTGGATCAGGAAACTATTGTATGGTGGATAAGGATGGTTATAGTGGAACTGTCAGAATAAATATATGGTAGATCAG